TTTTTTCTGTTACAATTTATGTCTTTTCTGAATACGGGTATTTCTATTTCAATCCCGATAAATGTCCAAACTTGTAATTTTTCCAAAGAAGACATTCAATGGAATTTGTGCAAAACTCGTATGAACAAATTCATAAACACTAACTTCACATCCCATATTTGTTTTGATTATGAACCAAACCAGATGTTCGGAAAAAAGTCTATTTCATACATACCAATTCAACGCGATAGTCCCTGGATTTTTCGGTGGAAAACTATTAAAATCCATCATCATTTTAAATTATAAGGCCCAAATGACAGAACACATAGAGCCAGGTGGTCACACAAATAACACTTCAATTATTTTGAATACATTTTTCGCTCGAAATCGCGTTGTATCACTTGAAAAATGGCACAAAGAAATGAATACGTATGCGAGACCCGTTGATACACAAACACCACTACTTATTTACACATTTTACTGGATACTATTTTGTCGAACCTGTCAGTACGAAATTGTTTTCGGCCATGTTTTTTTCCTAACCACCTCCTGCGAATAATTCGAATAGTTTCCTCTTTTACCGACTCGCGTATTAGACGAGTTCAAAAAACCTTACAGGAATGTTTCTAGTCAAAGCTCGATGCCCGGCAACTGCTTTTACGGCTGTGAGTATGAGGTTGCCTGTATAAACATATTCGTTGTCGGTTGTGGCATCTAGTATTTGATAGAAAAATCATTGACGTTTTTCGGCTCTTAGGTCACTTTTCCTTTCAAAATAGTTCATTTTGGATACTAAACATTGTGGCAACTAGTGTGGTTGAAATAATGAACGTACTTACATTTCGAGAGAATTATAAATTTTTTGTCACAAAAAGTGCATTGGAAACTACTATTACCATCTAGTAGGCAAAATACACATCATCAATTCAAGAGGTATTAAAAAACGGACGCTATAAGGTCTGTTCTGAGGAAACAACTTCCGTCAGGTGGCGGTATAAAACTCTAGGAAAACAAATACAATGTCAAAGTACTATAGTTATGAGCTTTTTGCAGATCTAGTCCGTAACTCTAACGATGCCATATAGTAACGATTATAGTAGAAAATACTGAATGCTCTCATTACTGGAAGAACATATTTTTCTTCAATTAACTGTTCATTTTTCAATTATGCTTCCACTTCTACCTATTTTTTTGCAACTCCGTCTTTCCTACATATATAATCTTTCTCTTAGTCTAATTCAATGTATACAAGGCGGTCATATTATACATCAAACAATGAAGTACATCAACCAAAATGAATGAGATAATTTTTCGAATGAACCAGTAGAAGAGTCCATCACATCAACTTGTTGACTTATTGATGAAATTGAAAATTTGTCCATATTGAATATATAACACTAGGTTACAGATATGTTGACAGTGAATGTGTCTATTCGACTCTCCGGAGCAACTCGCGAGAGTTTATTATGACTCCTCTCTTTGCAATGAACAAATTTAGCTTAGAAGCTAATTGGTTTCTTTGGATTTTTCAGGTTTGATGGTGAGGGTGAAACTGACAAACATATTAAACCAGATTCAAGGTACAGCGAGACAGAGACAAAGTTTGTGGGCTGCTGTTTCATCATCTTTCAAATAAAGACAATATGCCGGATCTTCCAACAATCCGCGTTTCTTCATATGATGGTCAGAGGACAGTAACATGCCTTCTGTACCCTAACAATTGTTTGGCCTGTCAAGGAATCCAGAGCAATGATAATTTGTTGAGGAGGGTTTTCAGCCAATTCACTATCAATTCGGACGTAACTAAGTGAAAGCCAAGTGCTTTCTGAGCCGCTTCACTACCCCAGATTTTTTTTATTGATTTTCTCGTATGTGTGCACGTGGCTTTTGCTAGTATCTCCATATATAAATTACTGATCCAGTTTCTGCCTAAAATACGATCGTAGAAGACACTAGACAGGTTGATATGTCTGTCCTAGGTATGTGACTGCCATACAACTACACCGGAACCCGAAGATGTATTTGATCTTTTCGTGAACCAACCAGCTATTTGATCTCATTAGACTCTCCCAGAGTATTCTCTGTAGAGGTTAGGAATATTTAAGACGAATAGTTGAGTATATAAAAGTTATATAAAGGACTTTCAACTTTGACAATTGATAATGGCCATCTTGATGAATCTACATCTACCAAATTAGTCGTCATTTATTCAGTCTGCCAAATCACCATGGACGGATATATCGTTCAACAATACGGTCAAATAATGAAAATTGTTTTATCCAAATGGATGTTCTGTTCGGGCAACATACCGTACGCTTCGTCCATTTTACGGTCGCCATTATCGTCCTACCAAGAGGACTAATCGCAATGTGGTGGATAAATTTGAATCAGTTAACGATTGACACCCCTACCTCGACGAAACGCAAGATCTGCCAAAAACATCGCTGCCGTCTGTAAGAGTGTGCAGGAGAATCTGAAGCAGTGGATTTCGTGTCGCTCACAAAAAATCGGCCTTTCGCAGACTACAACTTGGCGAATTTTGCGTTGTGATTTGGGCCTGTACCTGTACAAAATGCATCTGACCCAGCAACTGAAGGTAAACGACCATAGACAACGACGTGTTTTCGCTGAATAGGCTCTGGAGCAGTTGGCAACTGACCCTAATTTTCATTGAAAAATCATCTTCAGCGATGAGGCCCATTTCAGGATGACTAGGTACGTGAACAAACGAAATTGTCAAATTTGAGACGATACCAATCCACATGATATCCAAGAGCGTCCAATGAATCCCGAAAAAGTCACCGTTTTGTGTGGGTTTCGGGCTGGCGGCGTCATAGGACCCTAATTCTTTGAGAAAGACGTTGGCTAAGCCATCACTGTCAACGGCAAGCACTATAGTGACGATTACCACCTTTTCATGACTTGAATTGGATGATCTGGATTCCAACGACATGTGGTCTCAACAAGAGGGCGCTACATGCCACACAGCTCATGGAAAATTGGACGTTTTTGGATGCGCCTCACCCAGAGAAGCCGTGGCGGACATTTGAACGAATGTATCTTTCAAACGAATGAAAAAATTTGATGATATCTCACATATCCTTTATTTTATTTAAATTTAAAGATAGGAAGCGCTCAATTAAAAACCGTATATATTGAAATACGCTTTATTTCGCTGAATTCAAAGCTTTCTCTCCCTACACTAGTTCCTAATAAATGAATTTAATTCAAAACCACTAAAATAATCGCTACGACGTTGAGCTACTATCATGCAACGGTAGGGTATTTTTATTCAGATAATAAGTTACCCAGTTATTGAAATAAGTCCTTCGTTTCCTAATCTCAGCACCACGTTCTTCTGCGAGAAAAGAATGCGGTCTCCTGAACTTAGATGGGGAGCGTTTCCTCCTACAAGCGTGAAATTCCCCGATGCTTACGCTGCACTCACATCTCACCTCCCCCTCGGATAACACCCTCTCGGAATTGGTAATTGTGTCACTGTTGGAAGAATCCAAGTTGAGCTTGGACTTGTACAAGCTAGCCGGCACGGCTCTAAACTTTTCGTGAATCAGCTTTTCATATTTCGGGCAGTTGCTCTCACAGAACAAATCCTCCTCGTCTCTGTATCTTCCGTTCTTTTCGGCGTGCAAAGGGGATCTTTCGGGAGGTTTCTCGAAGTACCGACGGGGCATAGCATCGCCCTGAATCAATACAGGGGAGACATTATAGTTATGATTATTAAGCTCTCTCTCGTCATCAATTTTGGGCAGATACGACGATATCTTGGAATTTTTTCTGACTTCCTTTTGCGATGACTTGCGTTTACCTTTGTCTCTGGAACCTGAAGATAAGTTTTGTGATCCTCCTTCCACCATTCCCTCCAACTTAGATGAACTTTTCCCCGCAAACACCGCAGATTGCCGAATGTCTGATTTGCCTACCCTTACCGACCTTCGAATGTGAGGTATGACCTTTTTGAGATTAGAAGTTGTTGTCTCCACCAAACCGCTTATGAATGTAGGTACTGCTATGTTTGAAATGTCGTCACCATCTTCTTCAATGGCGCCTTGGTCGCTCCCCAGTTCAAGATTAGATACCCTTACGTCGGTAGCATGTTCCTTCGTTATTTTATCTCTGAGATTCTTGAACGTCTCCAACTCTTTGGATCGTCTTACGCACGATCCGGACTTCATCCTCATTTGTCTATATTTTCGATCGTCGACTGTTTCGAGGTCGAGAGACGATTTTTCGCCTTTATCCGTCGCAACTTTTGAAGAGTGTTGAGCTTTAGGTCTTCTTTGTACTACGTCGGCAGAAGATTCTGTGGTGATTGATTCCTCAGTGGAATAACTAACACTCATGCTGATTATTTCATACGAAATCGAACTTTCTGCGTGTATCCGAGGTGTAGAAACTGAATCGAGACTGATTTCTTGCTTTTTCGTTTTTTCTTGCTTACCTTCTTCCTTCTCCACATCCTCCTCATGGCCCGCTTCAAAAACCTCCCCAATCTTCTCCCGCTTTGTATCCTTACATGCTGAGTCAAATGACTCCATGGGTTCCTCCCGCTTGGACTTCTCCTTATCTCTCGTCTCAGGTGTCTTCTCTTCTTTCTCAAGCTTTGTTTTTTCCTCTGCCGCAGGTGCCACCTTTTCCTTCTCTTGCTTCATTTTCATTTCTTTATCTGCCAATTCAGCTATCTCCTTTTTCTTCTCTTGCGTATTTTCATTTGTATCTCCCACCTCAACCGTTTTTGCCTTCTGTTCTTCCAATTTCTTTTTCTCATCTTTGGCTTCTCTTTGATGTTTGCAGGCCAATTCAGCTAGATGAGCGATCTGAGTGGATTTCGTTTTATATAAGCCGATGTTGTATAATTTGGGAGCACCTTCGGGTTCTGTTTGCACCGCTGTGGTTTTTGATCCAGCTTGAATTGATTTTTCTAATGCCTTCATCGATTTCTTCTGTCTTAGTCCATCTGGAAGTGAAGAAGGTAAATAAGTATTATTGAACGTTTCTGTAGAAAGCATTTATATGATCCTATATAATTTTTAGAGTAACTTGTAATTTTTCTTTTATTTGGTCCTAGTACGATCATATTGTCACAAACTTGTTATTACTTGTTCAACTTATATCGAATACATAAAATGATGAATTCATTATATATAAATTCACATATGAATTATTTCGTTGTTGAATATTTCCAGCATAAATTACAACAAGTTAATTCTGAGTGGCTAACCCTCTGGATATATTTTCATATTCCAAATGATAAAATTTGACAAACACATCTATCGATCAATATCACTTTTGTTTTTTCAGTTACCTGATTCAGAGGCTTTGATCAACGACTTTATTGAAGATAACTTCTCCAAGGTGGCACATTTTGGTTTGTTAGTGGAATAGTTGCTGTTCGATATATGGTGAACGGAGAACCCTTTAGGATTGATATACGTTTTGTATACGTTCTCATCGATGGTGCTGATGACATCCAATGATAAAGCACTCAGTACTCCCGGGTCGTGCTGGTTTTTGTTATCCAAAAGTTGGTATGACTGAAGCACTTTCTGCCGCTCCGAATTATGCAAAGAATCCGCTGAAAATATTATAGAATTTAATAGTGATATATGATTATTTTCATTTGATTCTTCAAAAAACTGTCTTTAGATAGTAGCTTCGTTCGTCGAACGGCTACAATGGACATCTAGTATAACAGTAACAATAACAGAAATTAATTTCTGCTTTTCATATATAGGAAATTATTTGCGACGAATCTTCCAAATGGAAGACGTTTTATAGGTACCAGATGGTCCTACTTTAGCTTTATGTGTGGCATTAGCTGGGATTAATTGTTGTTTTTCCGTCGAGTATCTGCCACATGTACCTACAAAGTCGTAGGTTCACATGAGAGGCAAGGGTATGGTGTTTTCACCTAAATTTGAGCACATCACAATATGTTATAAACATGTTATCTATGATCACAATTCACCTTTATTCAGAATCGTTATTGTCAGAGATAATTTTCATTATGTGAAATATATATTTTATCTTGAGGTAATGTTGATTTGCATTTACTGTATTGCTAGGTTAGGTTAGAGGTTAATCTATCCAAGCGAGCCGACTGCTGTCTCTAACCAATAGTGTGATAATATGAAACATATATATGGAAAATCAACATAACTAGCTGAAAATATGTTATTGGTTGGATAAAACATGTATTCATTTTGGTCATCTCTTCAATTTCAAATCAGTAATAAAACTTTTGAATAGTGAAAATTCGGTAAACAGAAATGATTTTCCACTATTGAAATTAAACTAACGTATCAGTTGATACGTCAAGAAAAGTACTTCGACCAAGCCACCAAAGATGACTGCCGCAGTTGCATTTGAAACGTTTGGAGATTGTAACCAAAGGAGACCATGGCGAAACCTGGAAACCAACCAAAAGATTATATATAAGATTAGGAAGAATAGACTCTTGATAAACGATTGGGACGTCGCAAAGAAGGCTATCAAGTCTTTTCAACCCTTCAAATCTCCCGGAGAGGATGGTATATTTCCAGCACTTCTTCAAAACGGACTGGAAATAATTTAACCTATTGTAACAAAATTGTATAGAGCTAGTTTGGCGTGAAACTATATACCACCCAGTTGGTTGGCAGCACGGGTGGGTGGGATTTAGGGTGTGGGTCGGAGAGACCCACAGGTCTCAGGAGGGTAGCATTATATGCATCTCCCCTGAATAACCACCAGTATGCTTATCAAACCAGCAAATCGACAGATTTAGCATAAAACACCTTCGTTGAGAAAAACTCCTAATCCCTTGACAACAAGGGGATTGCGGTTGCTGTATTTCTTGATAATGAAGGAGCATTTGACAATGCACTACATAAATCTATAGGATTGTCTCTGGCTAGGAAGGGTATAGAATCGACCATAACTGGCTGAATCTATGCCATGCTGGTAAACAGAACTGCAATTACGACTCTTTAAGGCGAGACCATTAGGTTCAGGATCAACAGGGGCTGCCCTCAAGATGGGGTACTATGTTCTCTTCTGTGGTCGCTCCTGATGGATAGTCTGCTTGATGCCCTCGACAAAAAAAAGCTGATCTACAAGCTTATGCAGATGACCTTGTCATCCTGTCAAGGTCCACATCGGTAAGGGTAGCTTGTAATATCCTCCAAAGCACGTTGGACATTGTTCACAGTTGGTGCCTGGGGGAGCAGATGTCTGTCAACCCCAGCAAAACTGTGTTAACCTTCACCAAGAGGAGAAAATTGGACGATCTAACGCCACTTTCCCTCAATGGTGGAACTGAGATGAAATATCTTGGCATTATCCTTGATAAAAGACTCACCTGGAACGCTCACTTGGAAAACGTTTTACACAGAGCCAGACTGTCTCAATGGACATGTCGAAGGATTTGTGGTAAAACTTGGGGTTTAGGTCCCAAACATTTCCACTGGATTCATTAGACCAATGATCACTTATGGTGCAACTGCCTGATGGCCGAAAGCTTTACAGAAAACGGCCCAAGCGAAGCTCTTTGGCTTACAGAGACAGGCTTGTCTGGCTATCAATGGTGCCATTAGTACCACACCGTCAGCGGCCATTGATATCCTTCTAGATCTACCTCCTCTTCACATTTTTCTGGAGAGAGAGGCTAGATGGACTACATACAGACTTGTGCACAATGCCAATTGCACAAATCAATTTAATACAGAGTGCAACAGATTGTTGGTCGACACTGGAAGTTACAGCATTCTGGAAATGACCTCTGACTTTAGGCCTCCAACTGTCAACTACGAACTTCCTTAAAAAGTACTATTCCCGAGTAGAGAGGACTGGATCCTCCGGGAGAAGGAAATATTATGAGCAGATGGATCACACAGATGGATCGAAAACACCTTCCGGTTCTGGTGCAGGTGTTTTTAGTCGCAGACCCAGGACAGAGATAAAAATATTCTCGGACAGTCAAGCGGCATTGGTAGCTCTTGGCTTCTACCGAGCAACGTCTAAATTGATAGCAAATTGCCAAGAACGACTCTCCTCGACAGGAAGACTCAACAGATTGTCTCTGGTCTGGATTCCTGGCCATATTGGCCTGGAAATCAACGAAGCTGCTGACTACCTTGCAAAGGAGAGTGCTGCATGCAGCTTCATCGGACCAGAACCTGTCATTGACATCGCTTGAGGCTTTGTCAAACAAACTTTGAACACCTGGATGGTAAGAAGATTATTGAACTTCTTCTTCCAGGATTGGCACACTCCAAGGCGTTCATTCACCCTTTGAAGCTTGGAACCAAACAGATGTTGGACTACAGTAGGGATGAACTACGATATCTAAGAGGCCTTCTTACAGGTCACTGTCATTTGAATCATCTTATGCAGAGACGTGGACTGTCGGAAGACAAGTGTGTGTCGCCTCTGCTTGGAAAATTATGAAACAGCAGAGCATATATTTTGTACCTGCTCCGCTGGGGACCTAATCAAGTTCTTAGAGTTCGGCAGAGCCGTACTCTTACCATCTGACCTGAAGGCCACTCACCATACAAACTAATCGGCTTCGTTAAGAGGCTGGGTTTGAATATGTGTGAGCTTCAATAATCCCTTGCGGGTTGCGGTGGGGGTCGAATACACCCACTCACTTTAGACCTAACCTAACCTGGTTCGTTTCTAAGAATCATCGATTCTTAAATTGGCTCAACCGGCCTGAATGCCGTTCAAAAGTTCCATTTAACTTAGTAATAAATTCAATTGTATGATAATATTAAGTAAATTTTTTATGCACCACTTATTTCATATTCTGTAGAAATGAATCTACATATTTGTTTGGATTGCGCACGCAAACCACGTTGATTAGGAACATAGTTACCTGGAGATTGTTTCAGTTTTCCATTCTTACTCAAAACCAATTCCGAATCGCTAAAAGACCTTAGCCTTTTCATTCGGGAGGGTTTATATTCATGCAACCCTTCTCTGGAAGACGCCGCTCCTTCGTTTTTTCTGTAGTGCAATCTATTCGCAGTGGATATTATTTCGCTATTTTCGGCCGAAAACACCTTCGTTAGTGAAGAAGAGTATACTTCGAAGAAACCCACGTTGGTGCCTTCGTTCTTGTACGTCACGTGAGTCCTGCCAAATGCATCGATAAAAAAGTTGACGAGTGTTTGGACTATCGGTTCTGTGACGATGTTCAAGGAGGGTAACACTTGTACGGAAAGTTCTAGAACAGGTTTCTTCGGAGGTATTTCTAGTCTACCGGTGTTTTTATTTACTAGAATCGGTTGATACGGCTTTTCAGTTTGGGATGACCTGACTGCAGTAGTGATGTTTTCGGTGGTCACGGAAGCTGCCCCCGAGACGAAATCTCGAAACAGCCAATCTTCGGAACCGACAAAAGAGACTGAAATAAATAGTTGTACATATTATTGATAAGCAGTATTTTGCAAAATAAGAGGTCTATTCAAAAAATAAGGTAAATGTTCAAATTTCGCGGCCTACGTACATTCGATTTGCGATTGTTTTCATTTTCTTCTGTTGGTACACTCGTCTCGAATATATGTTCACCGTTTCTACTGCTTACAATGTTTGGTTTGTTGTTGTACTCTGTTCAGAAAAATGTTTACAAGTGGTACAAGCTTTCCACAGAAGGTTAAGAAGATGTAATATATTACAGAAGCAAACAAACAAAAACTGTTAGGAACTTAACAGAAAGAAATTTGTTCAACATTAATCTTAATTTAATAGATTGTAACTTTTCACTCAACAATACAAATGTGAATCAGATTTATGATAACATCAAAGAAAATTGTGAAAACATCTTAAATGAAATTGCACCTTTAAAAAGAATTACTTTCTATGAAGAAAATCTGCCTTGGTATGATGGTCAAATCAGAAAGTTGAGTAAAGAAAGAGATTTTGCTTGCAAGTTATTTAAAAGAAATGCTAGTGATGTCAATTGGCATAATTATAAAAATAAACGTAATGCTATCGACAGCATATAAATACTGAACAATTCTTTTCTTATTTAAAACCGAACCTATCTCCCTGAAATTGATGTTCTATTAGCATTTTGGTCTTTGCCAAAAATAAAGCAATAACTGAAACCCTTTCAGCAGTAGTGTGAAGCATTTTTAAACAAATAACAATACACGACCCGTTTAAACAAAACAATCGAACTATGTACTAATGAAAACTGGAAGAAGAGGAGTGGGTATTGATTTAAAAAAAGGGATTTTATTTAACAAAAAACTGATAAGAAGAACTGCTTGAATTTTTTTTTATTTAGGCATACAAGTTACAAGTGGTCTGTCTGATGTATTATTAACATGGCAATTTTAACTTCAAATTATCTCGAAAACTAATCGTTACAAAAATTTTCTTTTAACAGAGTGGTAAAGGTATTCGAAATACCTTTGAAATAAGGTGCCACTCGACCTACTTTCCCTATCTAAATAAGGGTCGTCGGACGTACCCCTCCGAGGGGGTGCGTACTACAAAAAATCTGATTAGTCTGAAAGGTGTCCCCCTTTAATTAAAAATCGACGTGTCCGAGCTTTTTTTAAAAATCTTACTTTTTATATTCAAAAACGGCTCTGTTAAGTTTTCGTTGTTACACACTGTATACAATTTCAATATTCAAAAAAGTTCCTTACAATCAACAACAAAAATAAACTGAGTTGAATGAATAGTGAATCTGCTGAAGTGTAATGAAGGACAAATTGAAAAGTTACACTGAAGAGTCTAATCAGGGACGTAGCGAAAAGAAATTCCAGGAGGGGAGGGAATCCACATTTTCCCAACCCCACCAGCAAAATTTCCCAACTTCCGAAACAATGAAAGCCGAGGGATTAGTTACTACTATAATATATTAATTTTCTTACTTAGCTATCCAAATATTGGCTGAATGCTTATGCCCGTTAGGGTATGCACAAACAAAAATGAATTTTGGTAATTATATAAATAATAATGGGAATTATTCTACTTTGGACCAAGGTCCTTGGTCTTCTACCATATCCTCCATGTATAGGAATATTCAATACAAATGAAAGGAAACAACACTCAAATAATATTGTGTTTATTGTTTTCTACTATTATTTTTTCTATTTTCACGGCCCGAAATTTTCCAACTTCTCCAAGTCGAACAGCGAAAAGTTGGGAATTTTGTAAAATTTGTGGACTGTTCAGGACTGTTCTCTTACTTGGGAGAAATTAAACATTTTTGAAGTTTTCAAACAACCCAGAATTTCAAAGTATAGGATCACCAAGTTATACTTGTTGGGAAATCCCAACTTTCTCCCGGTTCTTTCCCTTTTCTTAATACATCTCCCTTCCTTTTCTTTCATTTTTATTTTTATTCATTTTTTTCACTATTATTTTTTTCTATCTTCACGGCCCAAAATTTCCCAACTTTTTCCCAAGTCGAAAAAGCAGGGGGGGAGCCTTCCCCCCCATCCTTCCCATGGCGACCACCTCAGTGACCACCTGCAGCTAGGTTACAGGTTACTTGAGGCTGGTGGGTATAGTTTGTACCCTGCGCAAAGGGAGAAAATTTTTGGTTAAGGTGCATCACAGAAGACCTACTTTCCAAGTCGCACATTTGTATTGCTTGGTTGATGAAGGTGGTCGCGGACTGATCGCCGATCAGGTCATCACTAGATTGCAATCTTGGAGTCCCTGATAGCAAAGCACCCACTGAGATCCGGGCCGGGTCAGCTTATATCTCTCTAATAGAGTCCCACTCTGGCAAGCTTGAAAAATCAAGACCACTCACATCGTTTACATGCTGAATTTAATCGGTCAAATTTGTATAGGTGTGAATCACAATGAAACTTCTCGTGTTGCAATAGAAGGTCGAGTAGACCCACTCAGTTTAAAATTTACTATATACCTCTTACTAACTAAAATATTTACCCCTTGGTCCTCCCATTCCTCCCAATCTATCTTCAATGGTTTTCTCCTCATCAACAATTGAAACATTACTTCCCGTTGATTCAACGATGGCATTGAGTTTTGCATGCAGATTATCGAATTCATCCTCGTCTACAGTCCCGTCTACAGGGGCCGTTCGGAACTTATCTGTTGAGTCGACTACTTTCTCAGTACAACGACAAGGACGTCTTGTTTTTGGTCTGAGTTTGTCCAGGGCTTCATCGAACGCATTAGGGTATTCATCGGAAATCTTCGGTTCTGTGACTGCTATTGTTTCGCTATTTGTTTCTACCGGTGATGCATCGGGTACTTGTAGGTGAGTTGTTTCTGCTTCGTCAGAGGTTTCCTCAGTAACTATTAACGGGATGATGCTATTTTCTTCTCTGGATTCCAGTTTTGGTTCACTTTCTCCTTTACCTCTCTCAGTTTTCTTTGTTGGATCGGTAGTTTTTGCCACTTTTTCTGGTTCACTGTCAACAGATGCTGCAACTTCTAACAATGTTTTCTTTGTTTTGAACCTGATCTCGTTCAATGTTTTTTGCAGATTCTCTATCAATTGGTTGGTTTTTTGAATTTTCGACTGGACAATGTCATCTGCTACTATGCATCTGTGGCATGTCTTCGATTTTATTTCCACTTGGGTAATTGATCTGTAAAGAAACGAATAGTTATGAATTGAATCTAACAAATTGAGGAACTCAATAACCCTGTAGGAAGTTTGAAAACTCCTAGTGGGTTCGAAGTTATTATCTATTTTTGGTTCCAATTAAAGAAAAACAAACGACCAACAGTTTTTATTTCATGGGGAGTAGTTCAATAAAGTTTAGTTTTTGGAGATAGTTCATTTCCATAAAAAACTAAAACGAATTCAGAGACGATAAATTTGGATATTTCGTTCATATTTTGCTGCCCGAAGATTTTTTAAAACAAAAAGTCACGATATGCATTGTCATGTGCTTTTAAGGAACACTGGTTTCCATATCAAATTGAGTATACCAACAAAATAAGACTTCAAGAACCACATATTGATAAAAACTACCAATGTAAGGTCGGTAGCGTTGTTACTAATTTGGTAATTGGTATGATTACTCTCTCCACAAAATGAATTTAATAATTACCCTAGACGTATTACCTATAGTAAAACCAATAATGATTGAGAGTAAAGCGCGTTGTCATATCTAAATTTTACGTTACCAGTTTATAGCAGAATCAAAATATAGTAAGCAGTAGAGTTGTAGGTTGTGGCAAATTATAGATAATACACAATACTAGTACGATTAAAAGGTATTATTTATGACAAAAATCAGTAATGAGCTTGTAATGAGTAATACTTATACATTTCCTGATTACTGATCAGTTAAAATTCATTATTTTCTGTATAGTGTTAGATATTTATTACAACTAGTGGCAACGCTGTACGCAACGATATTTCTGTCTTTGTCACTTTACCGTAACTTCCATCTCATCGTTGCAGTCCTCACTAATGTACTTGCAGCCATGAGCGTNGCGGCTTTTATGTGGGGCTGTTGCTGAAAGGGTTATAATAATAATAATAATAAAAATTATTCTATCTGACCTTTTACCATCAGGCATGGTCAACTCAGGAAATGGAAGGACTTTCCAAAAAGCTAGCAATGAGTGCTGGCGAAATGTCAGGAAGAAATTCCATAATATGGCAGCCCTTAAACCTGACAAAATATAGTGATAAACAGTTGGGACCACAGTGGATGACGTTTATCAATCGTATGACAGTTCAAATGTTGTTCATTGAGAATTTTTTGAATTTTCAATTTTTTCATGCTACTAGATGTGTTCACAACTGTAAATACTTTATATACACAGTTCTTCATAAAAAAAGTTAGATTGTTCGAAGCGCTAGTCCCATTGTTTCATTTTCATTAACTTGTAATGTTAATGTAATATAATTTTGCATATCTGAAAATGACAATCATAGATATGTATAAGCAGATATTATTAATGACGCATTATATATAAAACTCAGAAGTAAGATTACCCTGATAATAATTTCAATATCTTGATATACCATAAGAACAATAAAAACTCATAGCAGATTATGAATGTACCAACAATGGATAAATGGAGGAGCAGCGGACCGCGAGATATATTTTCTGTCAACTCCATATAGAACACGTCTTCATAAGGGAATATGTTATCACCTTTTTCTATTCAGATAAATAATTCTGTTGTAATATATGTTTATGATGAACGTATCATATTTTTTTTTTGATTTTTCATCAATCTAAAACATGAAATTATATTGTTTCTAATTGTGAATTGATGGTTATCCATCCGTACTCCATGCCGACTCTATCTGGAACTCTGTTCTCAACCGAGTAAGTAATTAACAAATCTTCTTTTTTATTTTATGATTCAAAAAGTACATGAGATACATAAAGAGAAACGCGCCATGAAAGACAGTGTTTTTGTTCTGGTGTGAGAAAAGGATTTTCTTCAGATACAAAAGGAGAATAGGAAGGTAAAATACAAACAACATTTTCGACATAGACATACTCTCAATTTATTTGACACCAACTAACAGCATAGATTGTACAAGCTTTTAAACAAATGAATGTCAGTTGTTATACAAATCAACAACTACAATATACAAATCTGACATTGTCAATACCGCTTAGATCTGTGCATACACTATCACAAATTTTAAAACTCTCAGTTACATAATATATCCATTTACTCTAAATTAGGGCCGGTATACAAATACAGGAGTTGGAACTCCGCTGTAAGATAAAGGACAACTCTATAAATCCTTCCAATATCAAAGTCTAGTTGGTTGTGAGGATAAAGAAGTGAATACGCCACAAAATCAACCGAATTTAAACCTCAATAACAAACATTTCTGACTAGTTTTGTTTTTTTGAATTTTGATGAAGTTTAAATGATGGATCTCCTTCTTTATCTACATCCTCATCCATTTTGCAATAGACATACCTTCAAGGTTTTCCTAACAGGATCTTTTGTCCAATTCTAAAAATATCTGTCACATCTCTTCTGGTCGTACTAACAGTCATTGCCAAGTTTAGGGAGTGTTAACGATAAAAACAAGATCAGAACTCACTGAACTTAGATATGTTGTATCAATTCATGGAAAGGTGTAACGCGAAAACAGTATTTCACATGTAGAAGAAAATATTTGCAGTACAACAAACGTATATCCTTCGTAAGTCTGTATGATCGGTGGAAATATCTAACAGAATCATACCGGTGGCTACTTTTTTGACGCTCACCAATGGGACCTCCATCAATGGGATGGAGAGGGGTTGATTATAAAAAACTTACAATGTGCTACAAATTAAAATTCAAAAAATGTAAACTGTCACGCAGATAACTGTGTCTAACCTATTTTCCAGGCTTGTGGACGGTTGTTTCCAGGTTTCAATGACATATTTCGTCTATGAGTGCAGTAGACATTATTACCAAAGGCAATGGGCAAAAAAGTATTACTCCTTTTTGTCCTTACAGCAGATATGACCTAGTATGTGCTTCCTTCATCAGTACCTACTTAGCATTTTTGTGAGGACGGCGTACATTGCCTTATTGCTTTTGATATTGCTATCAGCGTTGTATAAAATGTTAGTCAAAAAAACTGCAGACTATGCCCAATAAAGCCAGAAAATAGCTTTGACATAATACTCCTCAAGTTTCTTATAATTTTTCTTGTCATTTTTTTGGGTTTTCAACCTTCCACAATACAAAAAATCATTCAATAAATGTGAATAAATGAAAAAATGCTCTGAGAAGTTTACCTGGAAAAGTTACTGCATAATATCAACCAATGTAGAGTGTACAAATTGTCAGTAATTGAACTCTTCAGTAGTATTTATAAGGCAGTAACTTTTGGAGCGAACTTTCCACTCTCTTTAGCAGATTGATTTAACTGAATGTATGTTCTTTTTCTCCTTTTTTTTTGTCCCATATGATTTACGAGATCCCAGCGGTAAACACCAAAAAATTATCAATCCTGCACACAGATCTTATTTCCAGGATAGATTTCCATATGATATCTTGAAACTTCACATGGAAGTAACTATTATGGCCAAACTTTTATCAGATTTGCAGATCGGGATATACATATAGTACATAAGTGAATGATAATCATTTGAGACCATTTTCAAAGTTTAAAAAAATACCCCAAAGGTCTAATATGTCCAAGGTGTTGACAAATGTAAAAAAGACGATGGGATACAAAATCTACAGAGGCGGATTTATCACTTGTTTCTTGGAAATCATGACTTTGAAACTTAAATTTCGACTAAAATCTCGAAATTTGGACTTTATTCTCGTAATTTTGAGTTTAAACTGAAATTTTCAACTTTAATCTCGAAATTATGACTTTAGCCTCGAAATTACGAATTTAATCTCGAAATTACGACTTTAATCTCGAAATTACGACTTTAATCTCGAAATTACGACTTTATTCTCGAAATTACAACTTTAGTCTCGAAATTACGACTTTAGTCTCGAAATTACGACTTTAATCTCGAAATCACGACTTCAATATCAAAATTAAAGAAAAATTTCGAGATAAAGTCGAAATTTCGTGTTTCAAAGTCGAAATTTCCAAGCAAAAAATAATAAGAACATGTGGTCCTTCTGCGCTTTCGTAGAAATCAACATAAGAATTGGCATTCAAAGAAGTCTTCAAACAGAACAACAGTCTGAAATGTTAACGGGAGGATGGATCATAGAAGTTTGAACCATTCTTCCAGTCATGATGCCACATTCGCAAATGACAAGACAGAGGTGAACGTAAGATATGAAAACTTAAATCAAGTTGGTCGGTTATTTCCAATAAAGACTCTTTAGAGTATGTATCATTATATACAAGGTCTGTACAATGAAATCTGGTGATCCTTTCGTTTGCAGAAGCTTTCAGTGAGAAAAGAGTATACGCTTCAAAGTATACTCCTCACTAATGGCCAAAACAAACTATATATAGTACCATTAATATTACATGCGGTATGGTATAATGTACAAGATAAAATGGTGCGCAAAAAGTCGTTACCAATAGATACGAGTTATCAGCTAGTTATCGGCGATATGCGTACCATTCGACACAGTTATGTTATCATGAAAAAATTTTAAATATCGTTCTTAAATTACCAGCGAGTTTTGTAGTTCCTATTAATGAAGTTGTTGAACTTCACGTTTTGACTAGTGTACTTCCCATAAATAAAGCAATGGCCCAAATGTACCACGAAATAATAGTCTAAGAACGGCATTTTCAAACCTGACTCGATTCTCATGTCGTTTAAAATACCCTCAGCTGATGAATATACAATATTTACAGCTTCTCCAAGTATATATTCCAAAGTATAAATTATATACTTTTTCCAATAAATAATTCCAGTAACAGACAACTAGACAACTAAATACTTTTTCAAAATATTTTTTGACTACTAGTTGTGCATATATTATGTGAATAGAAAAATCTATCAACTAAACTTCTAAACGATAAATATATTTTGTACAATTTCAAATTCCATTTTATGTACAATATTTACAAATAAAGTGAAAGTTAACTGAAATTATCCACAAACAATTACAGGACGAGAAGATATCGACTCAAATAAAATGAAAACTCTAACATTTCAATATAACTTCTTCCGAGACGTTCGTAATTCTACCTGATCTTATTTACAAATTCGGCGATGCTAGCCAATTTATAATTCGGTAGTTGTACAATCATAAGACGGATTCGTGGACTCTTCGTCCACCGTAAAACTAATATTTCAACACAGCCATCTTCTTTCCAATGTACACGCCTTTCCTTTCAGGCAAACTGTTAAAATCCGACATCTTTTTTTTTCGACCTTTCGCCAGTTTTCTACAATTTCATCTCTCCGCCAAGAGATACTCGATAGAAATCGAGATAAAGTGTCACCCTCAAGAGCGTGGTTATTCCGTTTAAGTTTCTTTTTCTTTCTTCACTTTATATTCCTCGCCCAGTATGGTGGCAATCTCGCCCTGCATAAATGCCCACGGGACGTTGGAATTGGCTAAAGGACATTTTTCGCCACTTGGGCAATAAACCTGAAACAACAAAAACTGTATAGCAAATGTAAAAATTGTTGTGCTATTTTTTTTACTGATATTGACGTTATTACAACATATATCAAGCTTACATGATATAACACTTACATTCTTCTTTACCAAAATGTTATCAAAAATTACCGAAATGTATACTTGATTTTGAAAAAAAATAATATACTATATATTTTTGACATAATATATACCTACGAAAATATGACGTCATCAACGCTTTTTTCAAATGGATACCTGAATTATGATACCCGAGTTAAGAGGAATGCCTTAACGTCATTGAAGGAAATTGAATTTCGTCATAGTGTAACTCGTATTAAATCTGTTTAAAATCTGTTTTTCCGTTAACCAGCTGTCGCACCCCTAGGAACGACAACCCTCAGAAGTCGAAACTTGTGCGAGCTAAGGATTAACGAGGTCTTACCTTTTAACGTGTGATTCCTAAAATTAGAATATTATATGTTCCTGTAATTTTCACAAAATAATATATGAAAAATGAATGTAATACAAATTATATGACACCCTCAACGAGGGTGTCATTCCTATAATTTTGGTCCATCAAATGATGATATGGGCTGCCCATTGAAAGCAATTTCCATTTTTGATAACGTGAAAATTGAAAAAATGGGATATTCCCTTGAAAAAATAGGTGAAGAAGTCGGTACTAGAGTAAGGCTGCTATTGTTTCGGAAATTTTCAATAATATTTTTTATTTAAAGAATGTAAACTTTCACGGCCGGAGATAACTGTGTGATAGGTATTTTCCAAGTTTTGTGGCCGTGGTCTGCAGGTTTTTATGCCTGACGTTTCGTCTACTACTGCAGTAGACTTGTCGTTTCCTCAGAACGACGGAACCACGGCTAAAAAAACCGGAAAATAGCTTGCACATTGTTTATTTTACTCAAAATAAATTCAAAAGTGTCAATTTTCAGAAAATAGGTACAGAAGTTTCTCGTACCCGAATTCATGAGAAAAACTTACCTCAGATCCAGCTCCTTGCCTCTTGATGCTATCCCTGCTGCAGGGAAAGCAGAACTTGTGGTACGGTACAGAGGGACACTGAACGAAATGGGTATCTTCTAGTCTTTCCTGGCAAAGGGTGCACTTCAGGGTGACTGGTGTTGCGGGAGTTGATGCAACACTTTCGCCATTCGTAGACAAAGATTCGGTATTACCTACTGTCATAGCACCAGCTTCAGTGGACGTAACAGTAGTAGAAGACACATGCCGTGATCCTGAGGATCTCCTACCGCTGGACGACCCTGCTGAAACCAAAAAGATGTGACGTAAGTTGCAAGTTGTACGCCTGCACAAATATCTTATAATGCATATTACAGAACGGACGACCAAACAGTCAGCATGTAGCACGTAGAATGAGAGTGATCTCGACTCTATATCATGATAAACAATAAATGACTTTTTTTAATCGGTTAACCTTCTGACCACAATCTCAAAATTGGAAACTAGTATTACTGATAATAAATACTGTCAAAAAATCGTCGTCTGGCAAATGGACTATTAATGTCAGTTGTTGTGGCACCGTTTGGAACCAGACTTCTAAATCTCAACAAGATTGCCCCAAAATAATGATGAAAACGGATGATGCATTAACGAATGATGAATTAGAATCAGCTTGATGTTCCACAAATTTAAATTTGAACAAAAAAATAATATGTTAGAACTCCTTCTATGTACAAATGTACATTATCTAGAACTAGATCATTATTCTGGCCATTACTGTTCCTGTGTTCGTGCGTCTCACTAATTCAAATTTTATGACTATTTAGTGGGTATCGGCCGGTGTTATTGATTTCATTTTACCTTTATATAGGCTGTTCATATTACCAATATTGATTTTAGTATATTCATATATGGTTTGTTTCTTCTTTTACCATTTGATTCAAATGAATTACTGGTACGTTATTCATCACAATAAGTCCTTTTATTTCAAACAAAACTATTGATGCAGGCCAAAAAAATCGGTCAACTATTTGAATATGAAATTCCAGATGTATGCCTTTGAATCGAAAAAGCAATATATTAACAAAGAAATAAATGACTCGTGACTTCCATTCAAGAGTGGCGATCCAAGTTGTTTTGAATGATTCTTTTGTTGAAGCAAATACACGTGCAAAACTATCAATTATATTCAGCAAAAGAACACAACAGCACATTTTATGTGAGAAGTTCTACAGTCTCGTTTTTATTTTGCGATATAGCAGTTTCAGATCTGAGTCTGCCTTCCGATGAAGAATCTGATTTTTTGCTAAAAACCGATCTACACTCGGTTACTTCAATATACATTGGAGAGGGTTGCAATAGGCTGATAGACACGGACACGACTTATTCACAACCAATTCGAACTACGACACAAAGCTGTGCTTCCTTCGTGCTTCGGAAACAAATATAATTTGGAAACTCACCTGAAGAATTCGGGGAGTGCTGAGATCCTCTCGATGCTGATCTGGGAGCCACGTTCGTGGGAGGACTACCCCCTGTCGAACGGGGGCTGCCCGGGGGAAGATTATCCGCAACAGACATGAGAGCGGCCATTGGGCTTTGGCCGGATCCGGTGGTTGGTTGATTCTGTTGCGTTGTACCGGCTACGTTGGCTTCTGGCGGAGAGCCTGTCCTATTCAGGGGTGAACTGGACGTAGTGCCATTTGTGTTTGATACTGATACCGAAGCTAAAACAATGTTAATGGTAATTCAATTAATATTATGAAGTTCAAAGATGATGAGATGGTTTCTGTAGGTATTCGAGTTCCTTACAAATGAAAAGCTTGAGGACAATAGCTTTTTCACTTGAAGTTCCAATTCTGGATGATATCTGATCGATGATACAAGAAGAGGAAAGAGGCAGAAGTAGAAGAAGAGACGCAAAAACAAGAGAGCTATTAACAAAAAATGTATGTTTTAACAATTCAGTTGGTCAATTTTGAAAAACTGGTCAAAGATAAAATTTTGGAATCCAATAATTACTTTCAGCATATTAAGACGACATACCTAAAAAAAATTGATATTTCTATTCTCGTATATAGAAATATCCCACAGCTTTTAAAAGTACCTTGATACGAATATCTTGAGAATTGTCTAGTCATTCAGGTAGGTTTTTATCTTACTTCCCCGGCTCTACAGTGATAAAATAAAGACAACAGACCTGCTAGGTCAGTGACTAATACAAACAACATATTTGAGTGCGTTGAAGGAATATTACAAAGCCCAAAAGCACGGTCTAATAGAGTCTTGATGATTCCTCTTTCAGTCGATTGATGGTGGTTGGATTCGTGGTTCAGATACTGTCCTGTGCGGGTGGGTTTTCGGTAAACAGATGTTCGCCACTTAGTGTCGGTCCCCTTCACCAATATGTTTAAGAATGGCAATTCGTTGTGGGCTTCCTTCTCCATTGTAAAAGTGGTGGAAAGTCTTGCGCTGTTGATGTGTTTCAGGAAGGCGTCTAGTTCAGTATTCCCATGGTTCCATATTATGAAGGTGTCATCAACGTATCTCAACCAGACACGAGGTTTCTTGTGGGCTTCTTCAATGGCCCGAGTTTCAAACCACTCCGTATATATGTTGGCTATGACTGGTGAAAGTTTCGATCCCATTGGCAGTCCCTCATCTTGTTTGTTTGTTTGTTTGTAATTCTCAAGCTCGGGATCTGTATTTGACAGAATTATCGATATTATTGCTTGATCTATTCGCGGGCAGATGGCGCTATACGTAATCTCATTGATTCGAACTCATTTTACATGCATTTCTCCATTTGAAAGAAAGTTTTTTTTATTAATACGCGCGCATGGCACGCCCTTTTTGTAACCCTTCTTTGCGCGCCTGCTGCCTCGGGCTTGGTAGCTGATTTTCAGGCTTCCTCTCCGGAATCGGAAACTATCAGTGGTCATTTTCCTAAACAATATACGGCTGATTGATCCCGAAGTTTAGATAAAATAAATATAGTTTAAAAAGATTAAAAACACGCTTTTAAAGAACATCGAACTAAAAAGACAAATATATTTTTTAAATGAGCTTAAAACAATAACTAACGAAAAATACTAGTAGATATTTTTGTGAAAAAAGCGTTCGATCTTCTTTAAAAGCGTGTTTTTTAGTTTTTTAACTATATTCATTAAGATTCTGATATGACAACGTTTTTAGGTTATGTTGACATCCTGCTTAGTCAGTGCCATTTAATGTTCCACCAGCTACTATGTGTAACCTAATTAACACTTGAGGCAACGCAAAATTACAAATTCGTCATCAAGTTGTGCAACTAAATAAGTAAAAATTTGGACCAAGCAATGAAAACGTAACCAGGTGAATACATGCTTCTATTTTTGAAATTCGCTAACCAGTAAAAATATGTCAATATTTTACATCAATTGCATAAACTCGGCATTTAATAATCATTCTGTGAATGTATTTTTTACACTCCATTATGCTCCAATATTTCTCAAAACTATTTACAATTTAAGGTTGAAATTTATAATTACGTCATAAAATGCATACTTGAAACTTTATTATTTCATCTTCAGGGCTGTCAAGTATAAGAACAAGGCATACATAATAAAATCGGATTCTAGAATGCTGTTTTGTTGAAAACAAAATAAATTATGTATCTAAAATAGCAATCGTTGAAAAATAATAAAACGCTTCGAACACTTATGTTGTGATTCACATTACGTAGTAATCAGTTTTGAAATATTGTGATTTATCATATATTCATCAATACCTCCTCGTATATCTGTATGCAGATATTTGACGTAGTTGTTCTGGAAGCGCTCCTTCAAAAGACAAATAGAGCGCGAAGGTTACATTATGACCATCTTCTGAGTAGATGATACAATGGCACTTGAAACTTTGAACCCATCTCGGGCGATAAATATGCAAGATGTTTACGTTATTCGCGAATCTGTGCCTTATTAGACATTCATTCCACGTGACGAATTCATGTTATGTACTCAAACAAAATTGTTTACTCCACAATCCACATGCGTACTAAAATAATCCGTTGAACTGGCTGGAAGCAAACACATATTTCATTGTACTAGTGTCAACAGTGTTGCCGTATTTCGTTGTAAGACGGTTTGCATTTATCACAACACATAGTGTAGTTTCTAATATAATAAGTCAATACCCAACCTACAGGTTTTACAGCGATTGATTACACTAGACCTGTTTACCCGATTAGAACGAACATAAATCGGGCCTCATAATAAACGCTGCCAATATCAAACTTTTTGACGGGTAATTGTAATATTCTCAATATTCTCAATAAATTCTCAAATAAATTCTCAAAATAATAATAAGTTTCTTAAAATAAAATACAATAATATAATAATAGTGTACTTTCATTCAGAGATATTTCGAATAAACAAGTATCCACTAAGGCAGTGCCTGTGCGTGGGTGATTTACTTATTCCAAATATTGACAATAATTAGTACACTTCAAAATAGGGCTCAGTTGCATTTCTATATGAGAGTTATATGTATAAAATCATGTATAATTCACTAAAATGTTTGTGACATAATAAAATTGTAGTCAATTTAATAAAATTAGGCTAATGAGCCTTACACACAATTATTGAAACATAAATATCATAACATAGGTAACGAACATCAATAATCAACAAAATAAAATATATGGAATATTCTAATATTCAAACAATGAATGGATAGCCTTACGTTCTAAAGAAAGAATATAATGTTTAGTCTTTTTTTTGAAGGAGTATATGTTTGAGACTTCTTTGTTTTCCGTCGGCAAAAAGTTATAAAATTTACTAGATAAAAAAGAATGATTTCTCTGTCCTATTTTCTTTCTGACTGGTTTCGTTTTCAGAGAATTATTCGCTTTCAGACGAGTTTGGTAGTTATGGCTGATGAGTGGGAGATTAAATCTGTTTTTGAATTGTCTTATCACAATTTTATAGTAATAAAGCTGACGCAAATCAAAGACTTCCGTTTCTGCAAATAGTAGGTCGGAGGAATACCTCATTGGTTTGGATGATATAATTTACAAAAATATTTTTTGTATTACTTCAAGATTCTGCAAGTGAGCATTCGTTGCTGCCCCCCAAGCTAGAATACCGTAAGTAAGTCGTGTTTCCACTAATGATTGATAAAGAATTTTGAGATATTTGAAATCCAGTATTTGCTGAAAGAATTTGAACCTGTATAGGAGAGAACGTAGAGTTTTACAGACTTGCACCAGGTGTTTATCCCATCTAAGATGACAATCCACTATTATGCCCAGATATTTCGCATTATTGGCTCTTTTAATCGTAATAGTTTCATTCGAGCTTTATATCAATTTGTAACTTATCGTAGTCCGGGAGGCCACTGACGTAACAAGAAAATGGAACGAAACAGGTTTTTTCATAGTTTATTGAAAGTACTTTTTGTCCAAAACATTTAATTAAATTTGCCATATCTTTTTCTGCCATATGCAAGAATTGATAATTTCGTAATATACTACATGAATTATAAAAATTGATTTTTTTTAAGTTTTCAAGGTAGGACCTCGTTAATCCTGAGCTTGCACAAGTTCAGTCTTTTGAGAGTTGTCGTACGTAGGAGGGCGATAGTTAGTGATGGGATCAAAATGCGCGGACCCTATCATTTGGATAGTAGATTTGATAATAGATCTATTCGTGCAGGATACTACCAAGTTTGAAGGTTAAAAAATCTGAAACTAAGTGAATGGTCTTGTAGCAAACAGATCAAGTAACGAAAAATATACAGATAGGGTTTAGTTTTTCAACACTATTGCATAACCATCAAATGTGTATTGCGGTGAGCTATTACAGGGTAATTTCCCCTGTGGCATCAAAAATCCATTCAATTACTTCATTTTTTTTTTTTCGGAAGACCAAAGGTCTGCGTCCAAAGACAATTAGTGTTATTACGAGTTGCCAACCCCAATAAGTAACTAGGTAGTTATGAATGGGTGAGCATAAAAAAAGAATGAAAAAAATGATCATGTTTAACAATGGTACGTAATCAATTAATTTTACACATGCTTTCTTATTGTACTTCACAATTTGAATGAAATAGGTAAGAAACATCAGTATTCAAGAAAAAAATCTAATATTTCTTTTGAATAGGGGGCCTGAGTAGACGTTTTTGTTACAACCGTATTTTTAACGAATTCACCACCTCGTGAATTTTCGAAAGTTGGATCTTTTTCTCTTCATCTAAATGTACTCGAAATTAGATAATTCCAAAGTGCGAAACAGAAAAACATTGCATGCAACCTTTTTACCTAGACCAACTGAATTAACATTCATTGGCAACGGATCGCCAAAGCACCGGCAACGTCGCGCGTGACGCCGTTTCCGTTGAGGCGACGTGCTGTTAAAAATACGCAACCGGGAAAAAACTGCTGCTGCGGTCGCATTCCCCTCGGCCGGACACGCCCGATCTGACCCGAGCCGATTATTGTCATCGGCGCTACGTCACGAGACGTGTACAGAAAAGGAGGTCACGTGAACGTTACACGTATCGATGCGCAACGCGTTTCGACGGCCGAGAATTCCCATTCGCCACGTCTGACCTCTTCGCGAACCTGCTAGCCTGGTAAAACAACATTGCGAAACGCTACTCACGACTCGCCGTGGCTTTTGCTGCTGCATCTTTGGCGAACGGAAAAAGAAACAGGGTTGCCAAACTGGCAGAAATTTCTGGAATTGAA